GTTCAGGGACTCTGACACCCCCAAATTTTTTTTTTTTTTTCCTTTTTTGTCAGGCGATTCATTATGGTGTCCGAATACTACCCAATTAATATTTTGCTACAGAGTCACGTATTTTTTTAATAAAGCCAAAAAACGGAACTGCTCGAAACCGAAACCGAAACTCCCGCACCGCACGAAAAAGTGGAGAGGAGAGAGTGAGTGACGGAAGTCACGTAAATGAGCACAACGGTGCAAGATTCTTTTTTTTTTTTTTTTTTTCGCACATAGCAGACGACATGCGTGGCGGGATCAGTGCACCGTGCGATTGCTTTGCAGTTATGATTAGGGATGACGCGAACTTTTTTCGAACCGAAGGTTCGATGATCGATTCAAGCGATTCGAAAGGTGCGAAAGTTTTCGAATTTACGAACTTTCCATATCGAAAATTTCGACGGAAGTTGAATTTTCGAACATGTGTAACTAAGAAGTTAAACGCTTTTCGAAATTTCGAACTTATTACGCTGCAAAATTCGATGCTTGTCGAACTTTCGACCTTGATAGACTAAAAAATTCGATGATTTGCAAACTTTCGCATTTCATACACTAAAAAGGTTGAAGTTTTTCGAACTTTCGACCTTCCTACGCTAAGAAATTTGATAATTTTCGAACTTCCGAACTTATTATTCTAAAGAACTCGAAAATTGTCGAACTTTCGATTCCTGAAAAGTCGAAAGTTCGACGAACTTTGAACTTTTAGGGTAAAAGTTCAAAGTTCGTCAAACTTCGAAAGACCGGCGGGCGGTTCCATTTGGATTCAAGCAGTGAGGTACATTCGTATCTTTCTTTTTCTTTTTTTTTTTTTTTTTCGCAATTTTACATGCGGTGCCGCGTTCCTTGCGAAAGACAATGCCGTTTATTTCAATCATCTGGCATGCTTGGTTTTAAAGAAATGGATTCCCGAGGAGCGAGGAAGGACGACGCGTGTTTGGCAATTGTCGTTTGTGCCATATTTGAAGCGCGCTATAGCCGAAGCTATTTATGGTAGAGATGATAAACTTTTTAAGAATGATCTATGTATAGCCTATGTAAGATTCGTCTTAAGATATAGTTATCGATCGGCGGCTTTCGGGCGGAAAGAAACCGAATTTCGAGCCGCAAATTCTGTTCTGGGTAGTTGGGCTCTCATATGGCACGTACAACTAAAAACCTCGGCGAGCATAAATACCCTGTCAGTGTAACTTTAAGCACGGCTACACGATCAAGCGGTCCTGGCATGCATCGAAACATGTGCCATGCGAATTTTACGAAGCAGAACAGGCTATACTGCCCGACCAGTGGAGCGATCCGATTGAACTACATCTTTTGCAACGTGAGGTCAGCAGTAACAGCGAAGTCTCCAGCAAGAACTTTCCTTTGACAAAACGGGCGTGCGCGCGCACCAACGCACTACAGAAAGCACGAAGCATGTACTGAAGGCGGAGCTCCAACTGCTGATATTGTGTTGCGTCAAGCTTGAGGTGCAAATGCGCAAGAAAAGCTGCAAGAGCTCGAGAAGCAGCGTGCAGTAAGAACGATCTGCTCGGCCAACAGACGGCCGGTCACCGCTCGATCGCTTGCGTCTGCTTTCGCGCATTTTTGAGGTTGGTCATCAGCTGATCGTGCTGGCTGTACGGAGAAACTGCAGCAGGGGTTTCCCAGGAATCGAAATTGGGGAAGGGGGGGGGGGGGGGTGTATCTACATTTTTAGGTGAGCATTGAGAATAGAGGAGTCGTTGCGAATTCAGGCGGTGCCTTCAAATAAACAAGGCACAAACAAAAACATTTCCCTTCACATCTCCTGGGAGGGGGGGGGGGGGGATGTTTACCCCCCCCCCCCCCCCCTTCCAGGAGATGTGTAGGGAAATCTCACGGGACTGCATTTGGGAGTTTTGGCTTACAAGGCTCGGCATCATAGGAAGCTCGTTGTCTTTACGAGTGACAGCGCGCCCGCACCAAATTTGCGGCTCCTTGTACGGCGTAGACTCAGCTTGCAGTAGCATGCATCGCCGAGTTTCTTCCCTTTCCGAAGTGCTGAGGAACGAAAGAAGCTTTCCGTGCCGTAAAACAATTGCGATGAAGAAATTTATACCGCCGGCTAACTTTTTCACGCGGGACAAATTCGATTGCGCAAATTTGTACTACCCAATACCGATAAACAAATCGTAGGGGGCGCTACAAGCCGGTTTCTCAGCAGCGCCTCCTGGGCAAAGTAGGAGGCCTATTGACTGGTTTCGTGAGGCCGATGTGCGGTTTCCGCCGCGCTCTTTCGCCCCGTTCGTTCGCTCGTAAGGTCCACTTTCCCTCTTACAAGAGGGAAGGAGGGGATCGAGCGGCCGTGGCGGTGGCACAACGTACTCGAAAGCGTAAAACCGAGGCTTTGCGGTGACGCCGTTTGCGCGAAACCGCCGAAAACCGGGAGGAAAAATAGGCTCTTCGAAGTATGCTGACCGTACGCTCTAAGAAATGCCTGCCCGTCTACTTACTCGCAAAACACTGGAAGAGCCAATCTCTGCGATGCTGACCGTACGCTCTAAGAAATGCCTGCCCGTCTACTTACTCGCAAAACACTGGAAGAGCCAATCTCTGCGATGCTGACCGTACGCTCTAAGAAATGCCTGCCCGTCTACTTACTCGCAAAACACTGGAAGAGCCAATCTCTGCGATGCTGACCGTACGCTCTAAGAAATGCCTGCCCGTCTACTTACTCGCAAAACACTGGAAGAGCCAATCTCTGCGATCTACAAAATCAGCTCAGCGAATGATGAGGCGGAACGTACGTTTAGACCAGGCACATAGCCAAGATTTTGTTTCGGGAGGGGCCCGCTTATGGCAAAATGCTGTATGAGGGGGAGGGGGAGGGGAGGTCTCAGCAAAATGGAAGATTTTGGGGCGGGCTTCATGCCCCTCCGCCCCCCCCCCCCCCCCCCTTCCCTGGCTACGTGCCTGGTTTAGACCTAAAAATTAAGTCTGCGATCTTGGCCACTGACTTTAAGTTATGAGATTTTCCATGGCATAGTAAGGCACACAGACAACATTCTTCACAACTGGTTTTCCCACGGGAGCCGAACTAAACTTTCCTAACACCTTGAGCATAACACTAGCAATTACATCCTGGTGATGGCCCGCTTCCAAAAAACGCAACTTTTGAGGTCGTCGGGGTCAGTTTTGGTTTGGTGTGAAAGGAAGGAAAATAGCTTGTGTCATTCGGTTCAGTCTGAGCTGTCGGTGACCGAGTGGAGAAGAGGTGTTTCGGCTTTGGAGATGAGGGTCATGGTGTATATACTATAAGAGCGGTTGGTTGTCTTGGTGGTTGTTTTGTCAACTTTTCGCTCTTTTTTTTTTTTTCTTAATTTTTTTTCTGTCTCCGGTTTACAATGGATATATAAACATACAAAATAACCCAGTTTCTTTTTTTTTTTTTCTTTTTTCCAGCGAGTCACGTTTTTGTGATTTTAGCGGACCTGTATATTTTCTCCGGCATGTAAGCAGAACAGCACTCGGGTTCGGGTCGTAAAATTTAAAACCAAAGCGACAGTTTTTTTTTTTTTTTTTTATGACTGTATTGGGGGGGCAGCGATTTTGAAATTGGCGCATTCAGTTGGCGCATGGGACCAACTGAATTTTTTCAGTGCCTTGGTTGGACGGCCCGAGTGTCCGACCCCAAGCTGTTTTCATTCCTCACCAGACGGGACGAACCTATATCCGTTCCGCGCGTTGCGCACCAGACAGTTTCGATCGTGCGGATTCCCGGCCACGCCAACATCCCGGGAAAACCGTCACTCAAGAACAAGGAACAGACCTTCTCGAGATTAAACGAGAGGAGTGACTCGCTCGAAAAGCCCGGCTATCCGCACTCCTCCCTGCGGACTCTCACCCGACCCCGCGGGGTTTTTCTCGGTAGGAGCGGGTGGCACTCAGGCGACTGAAAACCATGACCCTAATGACACCGGTTTTGCGAGCCCGCCTCTACAAGCCCGCCAAACTGCCAGAACTGCTGGGTCCCGGCGACTTGTTCTCACTAAATGTCGGACTGAGCCGGGGCCTCGCGAGAACGCGTGGAAGCGCTTGCGACGTTGACACCCGAACTCCAGCCAACTACGTACAGTGGATGGACAATACCAACCACCGCCAGTGCTCAGTGACGCGAAGGAACAGTATTCGTCCCTCATCGCATACTTCCGGTCCTCCGGAATCGAGAGGCTCATTTAACCGTCGCCACCCCCGCCCCATTCTCCCCTTTCCCTCAGCCTCATTTAACCGTCGTCACCCCACCTAACTCTCCCTCTTCCCCACCGTCCACGACAGGTGAGGCCGCCAAGTCAGGCATGTGGATCAAAATAAAGTACTCTCAAACAACAATCATCGTTGAGTTTGGAACGTGGTCGTGCCGGACCCTTTAATGTTCATCTCCCGCGCTGCGCCCCATAACCTGCCGTGCGCGACAGGGACTTTGTTCAGCGCCTACGAAGTAGCCGCCGTCCTCACCACGAGCGCTAGGACTCCTGACGCCGAGGCGTTCTTTATTTGTAAGCCGAGCGCGGTAGCTTGTCCCAGTCTTTATCTTTCTCTTTTTTTCCCCTTTTTGTATGTATAAGTAAAGTTTTCAATATGTGTTTGTAATCGAACACGAGGCCTCCGGTTCGTACCTCTCGTCACCGACAAGTTCAACCAACCCTCCAGCAGCTAGCTTCATCCACGATCCCCCGGCCCTCGACGGCAGTCACCCGAAGTGCTCATCGAGGTCCGGCAAAAGAACAACCTGAACATCATCACTCCGGCTGCTGACTAATCATGCGTCAGACAGCGACTGTGCACATGATACGAAGGGGGTGCACCAACGCACCCAATGCGATCACCTCCCGGATTTCAAAGGGCTCCTGCGGTGAAGGAGCGCGCGTATCGGTGCCCCTCCATGTCTCCTGGCGAGTGGAAAGATACGGCGGGCCTTTCGACGTCGGGTTCCATTGTTCCCCGCTCGCCGCACTGTTGACATTGTGCGAATCACGTCAGTCGTGCGTCGACCGATTGATACGGCAGCGGACGGGGAGTTTGGCAAAAGGTCGGCATGGTGGTCGTGGACGGGGTGCCGGACTCGTCGGAAAAGTGTCCACGGCTTGTTTGCGTCGCCGCCGTCCCACAAGTACGTAAACCTTGCTCTATTTCTGGGAGGGCGCGAACTGCCTCGCGGCTTTTAGGCCATGGCCACACGGGAGCGTCCCCAGGGTATAGACAACGGATTCGGCCACCGGCGTAGAGCCCCCTGCGATTGGTTCTGTTACCATACCGTGCACGACGAGCACCGGCCTATATATCCGTTCGATTTCCCCTGGTCAGACTGGTTTCGGTTGTTGAGTTCACTTAGTTTGTGAACGACTCTGATCGTCGACTGTCAACCGGACAGAAACCGTGAGTGTAGTATATGTCCACATCTTTCTCTCTCTTTCTTTTTTTAATTCTAAATAAAAGGGCATTTCGTAAAGTGCCCTTTTATTTCAATGTCTCTATTGTTAAATCACGGTTCATCAATCTGAAGATTCTAGCTTGTTTACATATATTTTTTTATTTGTTAGTATAAACTGAACAACACCGGTCAATGCACGCCATACGTGCGGTGTTATGGTTGTCTTTTTTGTACCCTAGCGAAAAAAACAAGTGTGACTTTTCGCTAACTGGATTAGGGAACTAAAAATCTAACTAGATTTCTTGCTGGAAACCTGAAATTCAGTTTGCAGATAATTGTCTGCCAACTGGATTTCAGGATTCCAGCAAGAGATCCAGTTGGATTTCCAGTTTCATAATACAGTTAGCGAAAAGCAATACCGGTTTTTCGGTAGGATGATGTTTGTAATTCTTTCCTCGTTTCCAGGTTTTTCAGTATGATCGTTGACATGCTCGGCCGTGCGCTAACACAGTTTGATGCTCCGCGAGTACGCAATACCTGAAACCTCAAAGCGACCAAACAAGAATGCGGACATTTCTATTTTCTATAGAAATATATATTTAAATCTCAGTCTGCCCCCACCCCTAAATTGTTTCTTTACAAAGAGCTCTGGCGTTTTGCCTGCACAAATAAGGTGTACGCTTACAAATACATATTTTGCTTACATTATACTTTGTAACGAGGGTGCGACGAGGTTTTGTATGTTTCTGCTGTAAAATCATAAAAAATTGACCAACAAAAAAAAAAAAACTTGCAATAACCGCTGGACCGACAGGTGCCCCAATTGGACATATAATACATTCAGGTGGTCGACATCGACGTTTGTTGGATTGTTTGTTTTCTCGCTTGCTTTCACTTGAGAATTAAAAAAAAAAAATCTAAATACATTTCTTCTTTATTTTTAACCTTTGATTGAGGCAAGCTTTTTACTAAGCCTTTTCCTAGAACAAACGCATCCTCTGGCCACTCTTTTATGGTAAATTAGAACAGCTCAGAAGTGCACCAGCTAACCTATATAAAGTAGTGTTAGCAATGAGTATACCACCTCACTTGATATTTAAGTTGGTTTTGTCAAACGCACTGCTGAAAAGGAGCAACACGTGTAAGGTCCGTAGATAATAGAGTGTTTCCCCAGTGAAATTAAGTTCATAAAAACAACGCATTACTGCACAGATACCTCCATCAGAGGTGAAGCGCGCACTGCGAAAGAGGTCATTTCATGTGACTAGCAAATTATTCTGCTTGTTCAAACCGTTAAGTTTTTGACAGCCTTGAAGTGGTTTTATATATTCCAAATGTAAACAGGGAGGAACACTGCTGAGGAAGGCGGTGAACCCTAAAGGAAAGGAATGTCAATTTTCTAGGCTATGTGGCAAAAGCTACTGCCAGATGCAAGGAGTATAGCCCGTAACATTCATCCATCGTTTTATCTAGAGAAAAAATATAAATTGGAGTGGAATACGCCCTTGATAAGCAGTTATTTAGTACCTCTATCGTGTTTAGTAACTCCATCAGACATGGAAAGTGAGTCTAATAGGGCCTGGATATCCCTAACTAAACTGCAACTTAAACAAGCCCAGTACACCTCCATGTGGTCACTTTGTCAAATGGCCTCAGGGTGATATTCTACTTCATATTCTAGTTTTAAGGGACCGTTGTTACGACTACGATACAATTCAGGGATTTAGGAAGAGTGTTTGCAGCTCCGGCGACCTTTCAGCATCGCTATGTACTTTTAAATGGCTGTCGTAAATTTTTCATCTACACTCCCATTACAAAATTTTAGTTCCGCCGTCGGAGAAAGGCCGCGAAGCTTGAAATTAAAGTGATAAAAAAAACATTTTCGAGTGTTTTTTTATTGTTATTGTTGTTTTTATTGGGGGGGGGGGGGTGGAGGGGGGGGGGAGCTGCATGTTACGTTACTGATGGGAGAGGCCGTGCTCAGCAAAAATTGAAAATAAAGAGCAGCCAAACCCGTTGAATATATCTTATGGAAGCAAGTGCTTTATTGAGAAAGCGAAGCACTTAACCGACCTCAGTAATGCACCATATATGAATAGCTGTACCAGCCAACATGCTACATGTTCCGTCATGAACTCCGCGCCAAAAACCCCTAAAATGTACAGAGCGTCTGCCCCCATTTGCCTGATGAGGCTGATGAGTAATCTGTCCACTGCCGGCTGTCTGCTGACTCTGACAGCTGGTATCTACACGAAAATAAGCCGCGTACGCTATGTTTGCAGCTTTCTTTCCTTTCTTATTGGCAAACTAAGCGGTATATGTGTCCTGGTTATCACCTCATCTCGTCATCGGCGCATTATCAGCGAAAGACCAACGCAGTAGCAGAGTGCAGCCGTTCTAATACGGAAGCGCTGCCCCCGCTAAGAATATCAACTGAAGCACCCGATCCGACTTCTTTTTCTGCGTCTGTGGTACCCCACAAGCTCTATCATCTCTCATTTTATCAAATAACCCGAAGTATAGGACCCACACTTCGCGTTAAGCTCTCTTAAAAACTGGCCGGTGTACGCCAAAGAAACACAAGAAACTGTTTCAGCCCACATTGTACGCGATAGTACAGAGGCAGGCAAAAAGGAGGTCATAAAGAATAAATTAGAATACTGTTGAAAACACGCGATAGTGTTTCACTTACGTGACTAAGCCGAAACTGATCATATCATACGGAATAAAGACGAGCATTAGATCACGAACCCAAAAGCACCCGGTCACGAAAGGAATTTGTTTTATTTGTATAGTATTCATTACATTAAAAGTAAATAAAACGTTAGCCCCTCTTCAGATTTTTAATATGGCAGAAAGACGGTCCTTTCATGTTTAAAACGTTGTACAACTCTGAGCTGCACACAAGAACTAGCGCAATCCGAAAGTGTTTTTAAAATGCCAGTCCACTCCGGCTCGTGCTCTACATATACGCTTTGAACTTGTTTTACGATACTGAAATAAATAATACAGATTTTTTTATACGGGTAAAAAGTAAGAGAGAAGAGGAGGCGAGACCACGCGGGGTCATCGGAACACCGAGCTCTGGTTGGAATTGGTGGGCAGACGGAAAGCAAACGCTCTTTGTCTCCACTCAATATTCGTACGCGTTTGAAGATAAATTGTATTTCTCTATTGTATTTGTGTGCAGCTTAAAAATAGGACGTTTTCACAGACACAAAAGCAGGTATCCGTTTCACTCGTCTGAGAAGATCTGGGCACACTTGAGATACAACGGCACTGTCAAGCAGCACCGGAAAAACGCTCGTTTTGAAATCACGATAAAGTGTTTTCTTATTGACGCCAGAAATAGCTAAAAAAAACGGATAGCACACACAAAAAAATTGTTTTGTATCAACCACTTCTTTCGAAACATCAACAAGTGTCGTTGGCTGGCCTCCATGACAGAGAAGCAAGAAATTGTGGCAAATGTTAGTCCACTCTTCAGTGCCCTCGCTTGCACGATTAGTAATACACTTCTAGGGTCAATTATTAAACACGTAGCATCTTGAAGGGGAAATTACAAAAACGCTTGACCACTGGTGTAAATGTTAAGCGGCAGGCTACAACACTTTGAACAATTGTTGCGCCATCATACGAAAATGCCCGTGCAGTTACCTTTGAAACTGTACGGTGGAGACCGGGGGGCTGGACATGCATTTGGGTTTTCTAAATGCTGAATAATCCTAGTAGTATAAGGAAAATCACTGCACGAATTCACGAACAACAACCGTACCTTACGTAAACTGATAAAATAGTTCCTTCTCTGGTGTATACGCCGGAGGAGGATCCAGAAAAATAGAGCACCCCAGCGAAAAGAAAATACGAGCGTTATTCGTGGCTTTTACTGGCGTGACATCAGCGGCCATTGCGAAGGACCTTGTTGCTGCGCACGCACTTATTTCGCTGAATGTCTTTCGCACCACTAAGTTGTTGTTTGTTTTCTCGATCAAAACGAGTAGGAATGACCGTTGGTACGGCACGATGATGTCACGTGCAAGCCATGTAGGTTCTCTGGAGTTTTACAATTCAGCAGTCCACTCACCATAACACGAAAATACCCATGCTTGGGTCACACTTCGACTGGGAGGATAGCACCGTGCGTCTTGAAGATTAAAGGGGTCATGAAATGAAATTGGCCTGAAATAAATAATTTTCGAATGGAATCTTACTAATCGCATATTGTTTAGTGAACGTAAAGCAAGAGGGTAGAAAGTCAAAAGCCCGTTTTTCGGTACGAAAATTCGAAATTATCGCGGAGACCATTTCGTACTTCCTTTCCTTTGAAAGCCTTCCGCCTCTTTACCGTGATACAAAAAATAATTGGGGTGTGGGTATGTTTATACAGCCTAAAGTTAGCCTGCCTCAACGGGCGACTTCTATCAGCTGTAGATGAGCAATTTAGCCAGTGCGGTACGACCGCTAGCCTGGAGTCTTTAACGTGCATTACGCAGAAATGATACACGACCGCACGCCGGTGTACAATGCTCATCCAGGTGGAAACGGGCAGGGGTGGGGACTGAACCCTGAATCCCTGGGTTCTGCAACCGCTCCACATGCTCCGAGCTGGTGTGCGCTAGCTCACTCGGCCCTCAGTCACTGTGGTACATCCGTGGTACCCAAAGCGTGTCGGCCTACCCCAGCTCACGCATTGGGCACGAGCACTGCGTGAACAATCCATCCGTCGGCGAATACAGTAT